TGGTGCATCCTCAGGGCTGTTGGGTGACCGCAAATCTGACCACGACCCTCCAGAGGGACTCCAGCTGTCCAACATACCTCTGCGATGTTTTGTAAAAATGCAGTCCTGGGCCCTTCTCTCCTCAAACCAAATGAAGTTGCTGGTTTTCGGAAACTCTATACAGGTTAGAGCCGCCCCCTGAGGAGGTCACGGAGTGGCCGGGCGAGGCGTGTTTCCTGTCGCTGAGTGTCCCTCCCTCAAGTTACCTTCCAGGCGTTGGACCGTGGTGCGGTGGAAAGGCATCCTGCTTGCATTTCTGCCTTAGCGTCCTCTGGTGTTTGCTTCTCTGGCTTCCTCCAGCTACCTACCGTGTCAGTGGACAGATGACTTTAGCTTTCTAAGCCAGTTTTCTCAGCTTTAAAAAAGAGCTGCTATCCCCTGCCTCGCAAGTGTTTCGTTCGTTTTCTCGTTCCGTTATTTGTTTTCCTTTTAATTTAAAATGAATAACACAAGGAGCCCTGGTGGCACAACGCAATGGCTGAGCCCTTGGTTGCTGGCAGTTCCAACCTGCTCGGGAGACTCCACAGCTCCTAACAACAACCCAACACAGCAGAAGCGCGTGTATGCGGTGCCCTCCGCCCTTCCCGACCTGCTCTTAACGCAAAAGAAAACCATACGAAACCAGTTGCCATCGAGTCGATTCTGACTCATAGCCACCCTAACTCCAAAGAGGTTGACCTATTAATGAAGAATTTTCTTCAGATACGAGGGTGGCTTGTTCCTTCCCTCCTCCCCTTTATTCTTTACCCACCTACCAGGGAAAGTGGATAGGCACGCATCTAGGAATGCTAACTTGGAAGAATTATATGTCCCACAGTCAACAACAGTGAATTAACTGGGTGTGAGCTAAGCTATAACAAATCGGGCTGATGCAAATGAAAAGCAAAACAAAAAGCTCTCATCATGTATTACCGATTAATTTCAACGTAAGGACTAAAGTAGGCGGTTGACTTCCAGGAGTGTAAGAAAGTTCCACAAAGAGATTTTGAAATGAAAAGTGCATGTTTCTAGCTAAGGAGATGAAGAGAGGGTCCTTTGAGGACCACAGCCCTTATTTATAAAGAACCTTATGAGAGAAGAGGCTTGTGGAGGGGAGTGGGAAGGGCGGGCCTCCTGCCCACAGGTGGCCTTGTGATGCCTGGTCAGCAGGCAGTGTGTGTGTAGGCTCACAGCGCGTGGCGGTGTGTGTACTGCCTGGGTCGGATGCCTGCCCTGGGCTATTTCTGCGATGCCTGGCTCCAGAGCAGGCCCAGACAGGTGGGGAATGTGGGCTATGGGGAAGCAGCACAGAGCATCTACCTCCTTGGACCCTCTGGTTAGGGGTTAGAGGTTCTGGACACCCAGTGAGAGAACTGTGGCTGCAAGGGTAAAGAAATGTGCGGGTGGCTGTGGGGAGCGGGGAGGGGCTGGGAGAGATAGTGAATTGGTTCTGGCCAGTACTGCCTTAGACCCTGCCCTAGGCCCTATGCTTTGGAGGATCCTGTTTTATCCCTACTCCAGTGGTGGCCCTCCCCAGTGGTTAAGGAATCCAGGGAGTCAAGGAAACATGTCCACCTGGAACCTGCATCCCCCTTCTTCTAGACTAGTAGCTCTCAAAGTGCGACCCCACCTCCCCCGCCAGCAGAATCTACAGCACCTGGGACAAATTAAAAATGCAAATTATGGGCCCCACCCCAGAACTCTGGGCCCAAAATTTGCATTTCTAACAAGTCTCTTTGTGATGCCAATGTTGCAGATGTAACCCTAGGACCACAGTTCTACTCTGACACACCTGGGGCCTTCATGAATCACAACTACCGACGACAACTGGCAGGTTTAGTGGCTCTGAGGGCCACTCTTTCAGATCAGGCCCCCCCCACCGCCCCCCGTGGCTGTGACAACAGAGTTCTTGCCCAAATCGCCCTAAGTCCACTGCCAGGGTGTGTGCACCTTCATCACTGGATTGTCCTCCCAAGAGTGGACCATACTGCCCATATGTGCACCTGTAGGCCTGGGAAGCCTGGACCTGTGGGCTGGGGTGTCCACTTGCATGCAGATGAGACAAATGTGGGATGGAGCTGGGGAGGCAAGAGAAGGACCAGGATGCAGGCCGGAGCTCCCATTTGCACTCTTGCCCTGGGCCCTGGAAATGATACCGATGGGCTGGTCTTGGCAGAAAGATCATCAGAGACCCCCGAGGCTGCAGGATCAGTAGGGCTCCCTCTGACCACCCTTGAAGACTAGAGAAATGTGGATCAGCTGTACAGAGTAGCCATTTATTAGCTCACATTTTTAAAAAAAGAAAAAAGAAAGCAAAAGCAAGCTGAACTCTGCAAGTTCCACGGGAGAGAAATAAATAAATCATTATCTCTTGCACCTGCCTAAATGCTCTCCAGCTAGTGACAGGATATTTCAAACGTTATGTAAGCAGAGATGTAAATAATTTCCTAAGGGAACCCAGGTTTTATTTCTAAAACCAAAACAACCAAACCCATTGCTGTCAAGTCGATTCCTGCTCATGGTGACCCCTTGTGTTACAGAGTAGAACTGTGCTCCATAGTGTTTTCTTGGGTATAACCTTTACAGAAGCAGATCACCAGGACTTTCTTTCATAGTGCCACTGGGTGAGTTCGAACCACCAACCTTTCAGTTAGCAGCCAGCACAAACCACCTGTGCCACCCAGAGAGCTTTAAGCCTTGCAAATACAGATTGTGCTGTATTCCTCCCTCGCCCATATTTTGCTGCTCTTGGTTATTAGACTCCAATACCTGGACTACAGCAGAGGCAGTGGATGAGGGTATTGGTGATTGGGTCTTAAGAGCTCCAACTCTGAAATTAAATAGCCCAGGTATGGACCTAAGCTTCACTTACTAGCTATCTAACTTTGGGTAACTGACTTAATCTCTGCAAGCCTTGGTTTTCTCCTTTGTAAAATGGGAACAGTATGAGCACCTATATTACAGAACTGAGTACATGGATAAAGTGAGGATTAAAAATATGTTAGCTATTGTAAACATTTAGCTAACACAGCCATTGCCTTGGGTTTGTCCTTCTCAACACGTTGCTAAGTTTGGAGAGACAGAAATGCAAGAGGCTGGAAAGTGAAGCCTAAGGCCATAGTCCTGAGATCTGGCCAGTGGCTGAGCATTGTCAGATATGAGTTTCTTTAAAGGAGTAGAAAGTGTGCTGAACTCCCACTGATTTTAATGTGACCCTGGCCAGTTTGAAGGGATTGGCTTCCATAAATCAACTGCCTCCAGCAGCCTTTCCCTTTTCACCTCTAACCCCTCCCACAGCTCCATCTCAGGTCGGGGCTTGTGTGTTAGGATGAGGCAGCCAGCCCTGTGGGCAGCCCACAAGGGACCGAGTGTGACCGAGGCTCCAGATCCAGCGGCCTGGGGCTGCATCTGGACAGGCAGCAAGGGTCGGACCCAGGGCCCAGTGACACTTTTATTATTGAAATCGACCCAAACTTTACTAGCTTCTGGGGAAAGCTGGGGCTTTGGGGATTTTTGTATTTGCTGGGTTGTAAATATTTTATGGGAAAGCAGCCCGGGAAAATCTGGTTAGCTTTCTGCCTTGCACACTGAAGTGGGCTTGTCTTCGTGCACAAATGTATCAAAAAAGAAGTCCAGTTTTGCCTTGGTCCCGAAGAATTCACCTTGGATTTTAAAAGTCTGCTGCTCCCCATGCCATGTGCCTCAAATTTCTTTTTCCTACTTGTAACCAAAAATTTTATCTCCAGGATTAATTGTATAGCAAGAAGATTTAGGTTGGGTCTGGGGGAGGGGAGGGGCAGGACATGTCATTGTTGGTGAGTGTGTGTCTAAACGTCCATGGCTGAGCTTTTTCTCCTTCCAGGTGTCTCTATTTCTCTTTGACTGCAGGATCTTCTCACCAGAGAGATGCCTGGTGTGTGTGTGCTCATTTGCCCCCTGCAGACTTCTGAAAGCCCCACTGCTCTTCTGCTTTATGTTAAAGGCTTGGCAAATTTAAAAAATCGGGGGAGGGGGGGAGAAGAAGAAAACACTTGGCAGCCCTCATTTTGTCTGCACTGTGTTCAGCCTAAATGCCCCAGCAAAACAGCCTGATGGCAGCAAGGTTACCCTCAGTCCAGTGATTCTAGGGCTGCACCTTTAAATCATCTTGGAGCTTAAAAAAAAAAAAAAGGGCTAACAAAAAGCCCACTGCCAAGCCCTGTCCTCAGATATTGATTCAATAGTTCAATAGGTCTGGGGCGAATCCGGGGGTCTTTGGTATTTTTGAGTTCCGCAGATGATTCTATTGTGCAGCCAGAAGTTTCAGAAGTTTCTCCCTTATTCACCAGCGTGTGCTCTAGATCCAACACAGCCCTAGGCGCTGTGGTGAGCAAGATGGACGTGGACATCCTTCCAGCTCCTATGGGGTTGGTGGCTGTGGGATGTTGCTTGGAAAGACAGAACACTAATGAGACAAATATAAACAAGGTAATTGTAGATAAAGCCAAGTGCTGGGACAATAATAAACTAGGTCCTGTGATAGTGACCGAGCGAGGCTACTTTAGAGTAGGGGGGCCAGGCATGGCCTCTTGGAGGAGGTGACATTTGAACCCAGACGTGAAGGATTTCACGAAGGAGCCAGCCGAGAGGAGGTCTGGGGGAAGCACGGCCCAGGCTTGCGACCACAAAGGTCACATTAGTGGTTACACAGCCTCCTGGGAGAAACCCGGGAGGCCGCCTCCGCCTCTTCAGCAGCCACCGACTTCCGCCCTGGGGGTCCGGAGCTGATGGGGAGGAGGGGACAGGTCCTGGTGCGCCCCCTCCCCGCGCCGCTGGATGGCTGGGCGGGGAGGCTGGGGGTGGTCAGGCCGCGGGCCGGCCGAACTGACCTCCCTGGCCAGCCCGCTCGGCTCCCCGCCCTTTCCCTCCCGGGGGCGGCCGCCAAGCACTGGGCTGATTTCCCCCTTAAGTGAAACTGACTGTAATTATTTTTTATCTCGCAGACGATCTCTCGCACACTCCTCTCCGGAGACAGAAGTATTTGTTTGATGTGTCCACGCTCTCAGACAAAGAAGAGCTGGTGGGCGCGGAGCTGCGGCTCTTTCGCCAGGCGCTCGCCGTGCCCTGGGGGCCGCCGGCCGGGCCGCTCCAAGTGCAGCTCTTCCCCTGCCTCTCGCCCCTGCTGCTGGACGCGCGGACCCTTGACCCACAGGGGGCGCCCCCGGCCGGCTGGGAAGTCTTCGACGTGTGGCAGAGCCTGCGCCACCAGCCCTGGAAGCAGCTGTGCTTGGAGCTGCGGGCCGCATGGGGTGAGTCGGGCGCCGGGGAGCCCGAGGTGCCCCCACCGGGGCCCCAGCAGCCGCCAGCCCCGGACCTGCGGAGTCTGGGCTTCGGCCGGAGGGTGCGGCCGCCCCAGGAGCGCGCCCTGCTCGTGGTGTTCACCAGATCCCAGCGCAAGAACCTATTCGCCGAGGTGCGCGAGCAGCTGGGCTCAGCCGAGGCTGCGGGTCCCGGCGCGGGCGCCGAGGGGTCATGGCCGTCGCCGTCGGGCGCCGCGCCTTGGCTGTCCTCGTCCGGCCGGCGGCGGCGGCGCACGGCCTTTGCCAGCCGTCACGGCAAGCGGCATGGCAAGAAGTCGAGGCTGCGCTGCAGCAAGAAGCCCCTGCACGTGAACTTCAAGGAGCTGGGCTGGGATGACTGGATTATCGCTCCCCTGGAGTACGAGGCGTACCACTGCGAGGGCGTGTGCGACTTCCCGCTGCGCTCACACCTGGAGCCCACCAACCATGCCATCATCCAGACGCTGATGAACTCCATGGACCCCGGCTCCACCCCGCCCAGCTGCTGCGTGCCCACCAAATTGACTCCCATCAGCATCCTGTACATCGATGCAGGCAATAACGTGGTCTACAAGCAGTACGAGGACATGGTGGTGGAGTCCTGCGGCTGCAGGTAGCGGCGCCTTTGCCGTCGCCGTAGCCCGCCGCTGCGGAAGCTTGACTGCTGAGAGAGGTGGAGGAGGAGCTGGCCTTGGAAGAGGCTGAGGGTGGGGGAACAGCCTAGATGTGTGAGCTGGATGGGAGAGGAGGGAGCACAGCGCAGCCCTCCCAGAACCTTCCACCTGCCAGCCCAGGGGAATATATGGATTTTCACACTTCGCCTGGCCACCCTGGAAAAACAAGCCAAGGAGGATTTGTTTTGTTTTGTTTTTCTCTTCATTATCATGGCTTTGGATTTCCTTGTGTGTTTCACACGTTTTGGTAGGAGGTGGGAGAAGGGGAGACATACACCTGTTTCTCAACTATTCCATGGATTGAAAAATAATTTAAAAAGGGAAACAGTGTGGGAGGGAGAATCACCTTTGACCACACCTTGGTTTGGATGTTTTCTACCTATGTAAAGAAGATGCTGTCTTTCTGACCAGGTCACAGCCCATGTCTGGTGGCCTCCCAAGCAGAAAGTATTAGAATAGGGTCATTGGAAACTGAATAGGAAAGCCAGTTCCTGCCTTTAGAAGAGCTTCAAGATAGGTGGCCCCAAGCACCTTTTCCACCCACTTGTGCACTCTAGCGAGTGTACCAGCTCTGCCTTGGCCTTTCCAGTACTGGTAACTGGCAACCCCCATGTGAATCCAGAGGGGTTAGGGGACAGAGCAAGATGGTTAGGTGCTGCCTTTATGCTTTTTCTGGTGGGGGAAAGGGGAGCTGGTATGGATGGAATGACAAGAATTAGTCCAAATGGAACCCCCTGAAGGATAATGAGAAACCACAAGACCTGCCTCTTACTGGGGCTGACACTGAGGCTAATGTGCCCAGGCAGGAGATAACACACCAAAAAGCCCTTCATGATGTCTGTTTCTAATTGATTAAAACTAACAAAAACAAAACAGAAAAAAACCCAAAACAGAATTTGCCAAAGATTCAGGCACCCCATTTTAAGAGGAAGGCAATCTCCCAATTTCAAAAACCATGGGGGAAAACTAAGGTCAGAGGAGCAGAGGAGGGGGAAAGGACCAAAGAAGTTGAGAGGGCAAGGTTGGGAGTGGGGGGGCCCAAGGGACCGGCCAGGAACAGGGAAGGTAAGGATGAAAGCAGACAAAAGTGCCTATCTCTGAAGTTTCTTTTCTTTAAAATCTTTTTTCCCCTCCCCTCTGACATTCCTGAAAGATTACCAGCTGGAAATAGCCCAGGGCTCCCCCAACAGAATTGTTTCAGATTGTAATTACCAGTTAGGCAATGTTTTTAAAACTTAGTAATGAAAAACTGTGAAAAGAGCAAAGTGTTACATTGACTTTGGGGTGGGAGATGGGAACCGGCAGTAAAGAAGGAAGAAAAACAACCCCAAAACAAAAACCCAAAACCTGTTGCCATGGAGTTGATCCCACCTCATGGCGACCCCATGTGTCCCCGTGTAGGACCACTCTACAGGGTTTTCTTGAGTGTAATCTTTATGGAAGCAGGTGGCCAGGTCTTTCTTGGTGCCGCTAGGTGGGTTTGAATCGCCACCCTTTAGGTTAGCAGTCAGGTGCAAACCACTTGCATCACCCAGGGACCTCTAAAGGAGACAAGGGTGTAGTTCGTCTTCCGGAAGGAAGCGGGAGAGGGCGCAACCCAGTTTAAATATCCATTCCCAGATAGTAAAAAGCATGACCTTTCCCCACAACCTGCCCAGTATTATTTTCAAACATTGCCCATATGGGAATATGAGTGAACTTCCTTCTTATCTTTGACCATGAAATGGTTTAAGCAAGGGAACTTGTACCGACCATTAAAAAAAAAAAAAAAAAAATGTTTGTTTTCTCTATGTGGTTTTGTGCTCTCCCAAGCTCAACCTGTTGCTAGTTTGGTTCAGAGAACTACCAATACCAACTGTCAAAGAAAGGGTGGGAATGATATTGAATGCTAATATAAAATGCTAAGTAAAAAAAAGACTTGGCCAAGAAAAATAATTTAAAATGCACATTTGCTTTGGATGCACTGTTGTTCTGTTGAGGCTGTATATATTTGTTTATTTAAGGTGACTGAAAGTGCAAAGAAGTGGACAGCATGCAATTCATCTTAATGTACAAAATGTTATATGCACTCAAATGTTATAATTTCTAATATTTTCAAAGTTTATATTCGAGTTGTACAAAGTTAAGCATTAATCAGATATTTCATTCTTTCATAATGTTATCATTTCCTTAAGTATTATTACAAAATTTTAATTCTGTCTAATGGAGAGTTTTTTTTTTTTTTTAAACTGCCTACCTCACTATAATACAAATATTTACAGCACTAAAGTTATCAGAGGTAAATTAATATTCAAAACATTTTTTACAGTACATCTTTCCTGGATGATACTCTATCTAATACTGTATTATTAAACTCATTTCCCCCCTAATAATTCAGCCTCGTTTATATGGATCTATTTAGAAACAATCATTTTCTCAAGGAACTGTTGTCAGTGGGATTTTGTTCCAGTATGGATGTCTGAAAAGGCACTGATTATTTTAAAATCTGTCATTTAGAGCACTGCACTTTTTCTTCACAACTCTTCCATAGCTCCTCTTTCATGAAATTTTCATTCTCCAGATTAAAGCCAAATCCTTGTCAGTCAGTAGAACAGTGAGCCTTTATCTTGTCCCGGCATAGCAAGAGCCTAAATAGGAATTGGAATATTCCTTAGTCTCTTTAATGTTGCAGAAAGAAAGCAGTAAGATACTTAAATCACTGGAGAAGTTGGTAATTATTGATTACATTTATAGAACACTGGAAACAAGATATGAACTGTTTTTTTTAATTTACTTGCTACAAATTGGTCGTTGGAAGTGTTAAGTCTGAGCACTCACTATTTTAGGCACAATGTAGTTATACATGTGTTCTCTTGTTTAATCCCCTCAAACCTCCTTGAGATAGATATTATTATAATCCTCATTTCACAGATAGGGAAACTGAGGTGCAAAGAGTTTCAGTAACCTGTCCGTGGTCATTCAGTCAGGGTGTGGTTGTTAGGATTTAAACCCAGTTAGTTTAGACTGTTAAAGTGCTCAGCTGTTAACTGAATGGTTGGTGGTTGGAAGCCACCAGCCACTCTGCAGGAGAAAGGTATGGCAGTCTGCTTCTATAAAGATTTACAGCCTTAGAAACCCCGTGGGGCTGTTCTATTCTGTCCTATAGGGTCACTATGAGTTAGAATCGACTTGAAGGCAGTGGATTTTGTTTTGGTTTGGTAGTTTAGACTACACAGCCTGAGGAGTTAACCACTATACATACAATACTAAAAACCAATTGCCCTCAAATTGATGCCATGTGTTTGAGAATGGAACTCTACTCCATAGAGTTCAATAGTAGTGATCTTTTGGAAGGAGATCGCAGGCCTTTCTTCTGATGTGCCTCTGAGTGCATACAATACTAACCCCCAGATAATCTGCCTACTCTCTGACTGGTCCCTAAATATCAGTGTAGGAAATTTGCAGTTAATACGATTATTGGGAGCAGCCAGCTGGTGGAGGAAGACCTGCCACGAGGACCCCCAGCATAGCCTGCAGTTTTGGAATATGTGGGTTGCGACCACTAGGATGGGGCATCCAAAATGTGGGTTGCAAATTCAGTGAGTTCTTAGTTTCGGGAAAGCAATAGTTTTAGGTCATTGCAAGGCTTTAGTAGATTCTCTGATGTTTGCTGGGACTACCTTGGTGTGATTTTTGTGAGTTTTTGTTATGAAAATTGTGATCAATTTACAGATAGGTTGTGTTTCAAAAGACTGGTTGTAAGTGGGCTGTTTAGAATGGAGAAACATTTTCTCATAGAAACAATGTTCATTTGAGTTTCCAGGTCATTTCGCAAAAGCTTTATTTACCCAAAAGGAACTTTTTAAGAAAGCAATTTTGACTTCTGGGTTTTGGGAACAGATAATCACCCATGGGAGTAAAAAAGAGGCACTTTTTCTCTTTCCTGGATGGAGAATCTTTTTGAAATAGTTGAGAATTCTTTGTATTTTTCTACCACTCTTTCTGCACCCTGCAGCAATTCCCCCAACCCCACAACTGTCCTGAGGACTCCCAGCCCGTACCTTAATGTCCCCAATCCAGGACTTTCCCTATTTTCCACAAATATTTCCACGTCCAAAGTTACTTTCCTCTCTTTCTTCCATCGAAAAGTTTCTTCCCTAACTCAGGGGTTCGGAGAAACATAATCTCATTGAATTATATAAAGATGCAAGTATCTCCAGCTCCTTAGCCTTCCTTGAGACCTTTGCATTTTGAGGACAAAATCTTGGTTAACTCAGATTTCTTATGAGCGATGTGAAAAAGTTCAGACCATCAGGAGAAGATTCAACACTCAAGCCACACATTTTTTTGAGAGTTCTATGTGAGCTGGGCATTAATGATACAGGGACAAATGGAGACATTTGTCAATATGAGTCTTTTAGTATTTATTAGGAGAAATATGGCACAATGAAAAGACTATGACTAACTTGTTTTTAAATTAATATCCAGTGTATCAAATCAAAACATTTAATAACTTATTTTTTAAGCTCTTAAATTTAATGAATGTATGCCCCATAAAGATAACAATTTTTTGCCCTTGTTTTTATTTATTGCTGTATTATTAGCATCCACAACAGAGCCTGGCACATAGTAAACACTCAGCAAATATGCTGAATGAATAAACTTACAAATCCTATTCTACTTATAAGTCTAGTAGTTTTAACAACCACTTTTAAGGGGTCCTTTAAACTCAAGTTGAATGGACCAAGCTTTCTTAATCAATTCCAGTTACAAATCTAATTAATAAACGTCCTTTAAACGTTGTGCATTTCTTTTATAAATTTAATATATTTAGTTTTCTTCTTAAAGCTCTTCAAGTTTCTCTAATAGGCCAAACCTTCTCATATACTTAAATCACTCCAAGTAAAGCTAGTAAGTTAAACTTCTAACGATGGTGATTCTTAAGTTCTAGTAAGTATTCCAAT